TATGTATATAAATATATATAATATATATATATATATATATATATATATATATATATATATATATATATTGATAGGTATAGATATAGATATTTATAAATATATATATGTATATGCATATATATTTAATTATATATATATGTCATGAATTTTTAAAATTCATTTGCTAGTTTGAGTTGGAAGAGATACTCAGTGCTCAGGGCCATCAAGTAGCCATTAATATGTTTAAACCCAAAATTACCAGGGATGGCCTGTATGTAGATGCCATGCCCACTGTGAGTTAGGTTATTAATTGCCTTTACACATCGATTGCTCCACAAGTACAAAGTCACCAACGAGGCAAATACTACCGGTCTCACCTATTTATCCTTTTTCTTGAGTTTTGGAAATATTTTTTGGTTATATATTGCTGTTAGTAATGTCTATAACTTTAATAATTGTAATATCTATAATGATATAATAATAGCATCAATTATTAAAAAAAGAATCCCACATACTCAAGGAAAGGTGAAATTGGGTGAGGTCACAATGACTCCTTTGTAAGCAGTTGTGGAGCCATCTTTATGTAGTGTTATTTCACAAAACAATACTACTTTCCTCAGCGACGACGTTTAAAGAAGTAAAGTCTTTAGAGTAATTTCTGTCAGTTGACATATGCGAGAGTCGATATCCTATAGTTATTTTGAAAACTGTATGTTAAATAATGTCATAAAGTGCAATATATATCCAAAATCTTAATAGCCTTTTAACTTGCTGTACTCCACCTTTGGTCATCATTCATATTCATATCAAGTTTGCAGAATCAAGCTGTGTTTAGGGAAAAGGAAATAAAGATATTTGGGAAATATCTGAAGCTATTGTAGCTCATACAGTATAACATTTTGTAATCTCTTGCTAGGAGACTGAAATTATTTACATTTTAATGAAACTTGGTCTGAAGGACAAAGATTTGAACAGATTGTAGATATTTTCATTATTCAATTGCCTTTATACTAGTAGTAAGTGCAATCTTGAATGCACATTTTTGAGTGCTTGTTCATGGCTAAAAGATGGTCCTGGATTAATGCTATAGTTTGCATACATAGGCACACATGACAATTAACATACATGGGTACATAATTGGGTTTAAGCAAGTTACCTCATTTCCTTGAATTATGCAGGAATTTCATACAGAATATGATGACATACACAAAAGTAAACACAGAAATTGACATTTTCTCATGATTTTCTCTTCCAACTTCCATAGGTGCTCATTCCATTCTCACATTTGTTTTTCTTCTTATTCTTGAGGCTTACATATGATCTTGTGTGGCTTTGATTGTGTTTGTCTCTTAATATTTCTTTTCTCACTATTTGTGGCTTTTGATGTGTTTTGCATTTTTTTTCTTCCTTGTGAATAGGCTTTCAAACAGCTATTGAATATTCTACATATCTTTGTACAATGCATCTTAGTCATATGATTGTTTTTATTGAAAGTCTTGAGAAAGTTTTAATCTTGTTCATTACTAATGTCATATTTGATTGCTGTCTCAGCTGATGCCACCTTTAATTGTAAAATGGCTTGGTTGATTTCTAGGCATCTCTGTTTCATTTTATTTCATTTAGTTTTCAAGACTGATTGCAGTTACTGACTTATATTAATTTTGCGTCATGGCTTATGCCATATCCTTCGCTCTCTGTTTTCTTTTTGGCCCTCGAAGTCCACCAGCCTGCAGTGATTTAGGTGGCTTCACATTTTGTTTTTAGGTCAACTTGTAGTCAGGGTGAACTAACATCTAGTAAGTTTGAATAGATTTCACTTATTTACTAATTTTATTTCTCGATTTGAGTTTTGTAATGTCTTTCACATCTTAGTTTTAGCAGACCATTTTGCCAGGCCGATGTGAGACCAGAATGGCATGCGAGAGAGGAGACTTAGAAGCTGGTCATTCAGTGGGAGACTGATACCTTGGGTTCAGTGGAGGAGACTTTATGCCACGTATCTGCACATTAAAGCACCTTAAATTGATGCTGTAACTGAAAATGTTCTGGATGTGTAATTTATGCAGAGATTATAATGATACTCAACAGGCTGTCTCTGCTTAACATTTAGAGGAAGCATCAGACTTGCTATGTAGTTTAAGTTTTGCTTTTAAACAAGGTTAAAATGTAAATGAAGGATAGAAATATAAAGCTTATTTGTTGGAAAGCATCACAATATGAAATTAAATATTTTCATAATGGTCATAATACATTATATATTTCTTAACTGTTGTATTTACAACTTAACCCTTTTGTGTTAACTCTTGAATTCTCCCTTCAGTTTTATCACACACACACACAACACACACACACACACACACACACACACACACACACACACACACACACACACACACACACACACACACACACACACACACACACACACACACACACACACACACACACACACACACACACACACACACACACACACACACACACACACACACACACCAACACACACACACACACACACACACACACACACACACACACACATCACACACACACACACACATCACACACACACACACACACACACACACACACACCACACACACACACACACACACACACACACACACACACACACACACACACACCACACACACACACACACACACACACACACATACACACACACACACACACACACACACACACACACACACATCACACACACCACACACACACACATCACACACACACACACACACACACACACACACACACACACACACACACACACACACACACACACACCACACACACACACACACACCACACACACACACATCACACACACACACACACACACACACACACACACACATCCACACACACACACACCACACACACACACACACATCCACACACACCACACCACACACACACACATCCACACACACACACACACACACACACACACACACACACCACACACACACACACACACACACACACACACACACACACACACACACACACACACACACACACAACACACACACACACACACAACACACACACCACACTGCACATACACATGCACATACACACAATATGTATGTTTATACATATTGTTTCCTGGCATATAAGATGCACTTTATTATTATTTACTTTGATATGCTTTAAAAATAGAATGATAAAAACTTTGGAGTTTATTACCATAGGCCTATGTGTTATCCCCATGATTCCCTGGGATGACAAGGATGACCAAGTATTTCTAAAAAGGTTGCTATGACACAGGATAGAGAGACAGAGACCACTTACAAACAAAAGATTTGTCAAAAGATTCCTATTGCTCATGTTTCAGTAAGAAGCAGATAGCCTGTCATTAATCTTTACATTATTAATAACAGTGTAAATAAACAGTGAATGAGTAAGGAATAATATTTTGATTTTTTTCTGCCAAACAGTTGGTTTGAACATCAAAAAAATGAAAATATTAATCAAGTTAGGTACCAGCAAATTATTGTGGATCACTGTCAGAAATAGATTGATGATGCTCTGATTCCATAGGCTCAGCCTCTCGTGTGTCAGCATTATTTAGATTTTTTTTTCTTTTTGATTATGAAAGTGGTATAAAATTTGAAACTATTTTGTGTCTATTGTGATGTTATGAAGAATATTGCTTCTTCTTGATATAGGCATTAAGGTAAATGGTTAAAACAGATACATATACATATATAGGCCATTATTTTGTGTAGGCTTGGTTTGTTTACCAGAAATTTGCTGTTAATGTTTAAAGCCATAGGCATAGTTGTAATTTTATGCTTTCAGTAACTCTTGTATAGCTTTACAACCTTACGTGATTTTACTTGCTGTAAATTATATAACTATACTCATAGTTTTACTAAGAGAAACTGAATATTTGTTTTCTTTATATTATAGCTCACCATAGCCTGAACTGCTATGTCCTTAGGTGTTTTGTTTGCTATGTATTTAATTTTTTTCTGGATGGAAGTGTGTCTTATATGCCAGTAAATATGGTTTATACATTATGTGTTTAACATCCTCAAGTGTTATCCTTATCTTATCCCTACAATTCACCAGGCCTCGGGGGCAGGGTGGTTGCCCAAATTTGAAGGGATTTTCACTAAAGTTCTGGAACACAGCCCAAGGATGGCAGGGCGCACTTGATTTTCCGATGTCCTTCCTGTTCTACTTGCTATGGGGAATGCATGCCTGTGTTATGATGTATCCTGTATGGGTTGCCTTTGTCTTGATGAATACTGAATCTTGTCATACTTCCTCCTCCCTTTGTCCACATGGATTCCTGCCTTGTTTACCACTGTCCAATACATGAGTAACTTTCATAGCTTTCTGGTCATGGAAGAAATCAGTTTATGGTTCAACTTTCACTGCATTTACCAGTTTGATGCTAGCTTTTTTATCATTATTGTCCTTGCCTTCTAATGATAGCCCCATTTTTGACATGTAGAATATGTGGAGGAAAGAACTATGAGTAAACATGACATTTTCATTTATACCTGCCAATGTACACATTTGACATTTGATCTCAAACAGCTCATGGTGTTGAAGTGACTTGATTCCTGCTGTGTAAGACCAGCCAGCTATGTCAGGTCCTCTCTTATGATTCTTAACACTTTATCTTTTACCTGCATGCATATTGACAAGCTTTTGTATATTTTGTATATTTTGTTGTTGGTTGATCTTTGTTTTATTGTATTTATAATTGTTTTTAGCACCCTGTGTAGCTGCATGTTCATCAATATTGTAATGGAAGAATGGTGCTGACTTGTATGTTTTGGAAAGAATGTCTCGAGTTCAACTTATCAGTAGCACTGATAATCATTTTAATCTTTTAGATGTAATATTTGAAGTGCTGTTCATGTTTTTGATTTGGGGAATTCTAAGGTCATTTCTCTGAACCAGTGTTTCAGGCATAGAAATTTTTAAAAAGTTCCTTTGCCTTACCCAATCTCATTTTTCTATTACTGTGTATTCATGTGTAGATCCCAGCAGCAGAGGTCGCAGATGCCCCGGAAGCACAGGATGAGGGAATGGGTATCACTGCATTTGCACTGTACGACTATCAGGCAGGTTAGTTCCATGGAGTCTGTGAAGGATTTGGATGAACCTCTGGCAACCTCTAGTTCACTGTGATTAGCTGTGAAATTTGGTAATTTTTTTTAATATGTCCGCCAAACGGATTATGACAATTTTGGTATTTTTGGATTCCTCTCACTGTCTAGGTTCCAAATGTATTGAAATTATTGCCTAGAAACACCCTAAACCCCCATATTCTTGGCGCCAGCAGTAGGGGAGGGCATGAAATATACCAGGGAAAATGTGTGGTAAAATGTAAATGATATACACAGAATCAGTCACTATATTGTTTAATGCAGGGGGCTGTGCCCACTGCAACCCTCCGCCTAGGAAAACAAAGA